TATAAATGGAGAAAAGATTGAAGTTGTCAATGGCTTCATTTTGCTTGGATCAACACTCATGGAAGCAGTAATCAATAATCAAATGACATATTGCATTGAGCAAATCTGCTGCACAAGACTTCTTTAAAGTGTTGAAGAGCAAAGATGTCAGTTTGAGGACTAAGGTGTAATAATTTATCTGACTATAGAATTTGACAATAATTTCAGAGGAAGGAGAGCTTATCCAGATGGGAGAATAAGAAGTGACTTCAGAGAAATGCTGAATCTTTTAAAAAGGGACAGACATAGACCTATGAAGAGAAGATGAAAAGGCACAAAGATAACATAGAATGTTCATAGTATGCCTGAGTATTAAACAACAAAATATATTTGAAACAATAATTTGATGTAATGACTGACCCCTTCAGAACTTTTAGTTCTCTGTGCTTTAGAGGTGTAAGTAAAAAGCAATTTATGTCACCTAGATGTTATCCCATGGGTCTAGGAAGAAAAATCTAAGGGCTTGGTCTTCCCTAGTTGAAGACAAGAAGGTATTTCATATGAGGTGGCACTAGAGATTGTGGAATAGGGAGATATGACATCATCCCTTCCAGACATCCATCCTGAAGATCAATGGGAACACTGTGATGATGACTATGATAGAGGCTCCACAGCTTTGGTTATAGTGGGTGTTGGAAAAGAGACCTTGTAGAACAGGTCAGTCTTTATTATGCTATTCAATGACAGACATTCACCCAGACTGCTACAGAACTGACCTTTTCATGCACAGCCCCTTCCAAGTTAGACCCAGGAAAGCTGAGCCAAGAATGATTCCAGTGTTTGTTGTCTAGTGTATCCCAAACTACAAACCCTGCCTGGGACAGTCATACCTTTCCCCTAGGACATTTGGGGCTATTCCTTCACAGCCATATCTCTAAGAATGATATCAAACTTGTGTGCTGTCAAGTTTGTTCTGACTGATAGTAAACCTGTATAGGGTTTCCAAACATTTAATTCTTTGTGGGAGCAGAAAGCCTCATCATTCTCCTATGGAATGACTGGTGGACTCCAAATACCAACCTGTCAAGTCCAGTGCTTGCTCTTGTGGGTATCTACCTAAGGAATGATAACCTGGTAACCTTACATTCATTAAGTTTGTTGTTGTAGTTGTTAGATTCCATCGAGTTGACACCAACTCATAGTGACCTTATACACAGCAGAACAAAACACTGCCCAATCCTGGGCTATTCCCACTACTGTTGCCGTGCTTGAGTCCATCAATGCTGCCACTTGGCCAATCCATCTCATTTTGGGGTCTTCCTCTTTTTCTCTGACCCTCCACCTTACCAAACATGATATCCTTCTCCAGTGACTGGTCCCTCCTGACAATATGTCCAAAGTATGAGAGAGAGATGAAGTTTGCCATCTTGGCTTCCAAGGAGCATTCTGGCTGTACTTCTTCCAAAATAGATCTATTGGTTCTTTTGGCAGCTCATGACACTT